TGCGAAGAGCAGTTATAAATACCCAATTATAAAAAAGAATAATATGTTACACATAAATGGGAAAAAGGGGGGGGGGGGGGGGGGAGGGAACAAAAAGAAGTCATTAATTAGAATAAACTGCAAATACTACCCCTGTGTTATCTCGAAATAGCGAAAACCCCCCTGTGATAAATAAACTAGCAAAAACCCCCCTGTGAAATTTAGTCAAAGGCATAATCCCCCCTAGCTGATTTTTTAGACTTGAAATGACAAAATTGTCCCTCAAAATGTATTTATATATATACATATTGTATGTATATTTCTTCTTTTCACTAGGCCAAAATGCAAGACTGGCGACGTTTTTTTTCGCGACGGTTATGTTTTCGTCGCACGTTTGCGACGTTCCTGTGCTTAAATCGTCGCTATCAAGTTTTAATTTAAAACCCTAGCGACGATTCCGGATAAGCGTCACTAGCAAGCGACGAAAACAATACAAACGTCGCCAATACGGAAAAAAAAATTAAAAATATTTTTTGTGGCGACGAAAATAGTTTTTCGTCGCTACATTACATATTTTGTGATTTTATATTTCAGATGTTGCGACGTAACAGGCGGAATAGTCGCAAATATTATTTAAAAAAAAAAAAAAATAATATACGTTGCGACGTTTGTTCATAAACGTCGCTAGGAGTTGCCATTTATTTGTAATTTATTTATATGTTGCGACGGAAAGGTAAAAACGTCGCCAATGTTTTAGTAATTTTTTTTTTTTTTTATATCCCGGCGACGGATTTACAAAATCGTCGCACGAAATGTGCTCAAATTTTTTTTTCCGAATTTAGTAGCGACGGATTCTTGAATTCGTCGCTAGTTCTGGGATATGTTGGAGACGAAAATAGGAAACGTCGCAAAGATTGACTTATTACTCATCAGGCCCTAATTAGATCTATTTCCTCCCGGCCTTCTCTCTCAAACTCTCCCCCTCTCCATCTCCTCCGATCTGCCCTCGCCGTTGCCGTCGCCGACCGCCGCCCACCGCCGCCGTCTGCTGCTGAGCCGTCGCCGACATCCGCCCGCCCGCCGCCGCCGTCTGCTGCTCACCCGTCGCCGACATCCGTTCGCCCGCCGTCATCCAGCCGTTGCCCCCAATCTCCGCTGCCGATCCTTTGCCGTCGCAGCCGTCCGCCGCCAGCCCTCCGCCGTTGCCGACAGCCCTCCGCCGTCCGCCGCCAGCCCTCTGCCGCTACTCCTCCAATTTCAAGGTAATTTTATGTTTTTTTAAATGTTTGTTTGTTTATGTTCAAAATTACGTGGGTGTTCGATTATCGATCTATTTTTAGGTTTTTTGTCGGAATTATGTGTTTGTTTGTTTTATGTTGATTTGATGAGCCTGTGTTGCTCGGATATATTCGGAATTATTGTTGCTCGGAATTACTGTGATCCACGTGATAGGCCATGGGTGGTTCCGATTGTTATTAAACCAAGAGACAACTTTGCTTTGACTCCTGATGATCTCAATGTAGTTGAAGATGAATGTTATGAGATACTTCCTATAAATAATGACATAAATGCTATAGATGATATGGAAGAGTGAATAATTATTTTTGTTGTTCTAATATTTCTTTGAAGTCTTGTTAATTAGCTTGTTTGGATTGTAATGTACTTGTTTTAATGTTATCATTTTATTTGCCATAATTTATTATTGTTATTTGTATATATATTTCTGTATTGTATCTTATTTGCTTTCTCAGGTGAGCAATGTCGACGGAAGACATTTCTGTTGAGCCTATAGGTGATGAGTCTACAAGTACCGACATAGTTGATTTGGAGTTTGACGGTATAGGTATTCCCGTTGCACCCGGGAGGTACAAGTTGGCGGTGGCAATTAGTAACGAGGTTACACATTGGGACAATTTTGATCCGTCTATTTCATGGCCTAAGCACAAGAAAGAGGGTCGTGTCGAAGGATTGTGGAGAGCATTTAAGGTATTTGAAAGTTCAAATTATTTTATTTATTTCAGTTATTATAATTATTTTGTTATCAATTAATTATGAATTTTTTTGTATGCCTTTTAGGTAACGTGGAAACTTCCTGAAAATGAGGCTACGAAGAAATGGTTCAACGAGACGGCCAATTGTCGTTGGAAAGATGCAAAAAATAAAAGATTGAAGGCGGTTTTTGATAAAGCGCCTAACCTTGCAGCTGCTAAGGCAAATCTTCCGGATAGGATTAGCGCTCAAACTTGGGAGAGGCTGTGTGATCAGTTTCATTCTATTTCTACTCCGGGGGATGATGGGAAGGTAATATGCTTTTAATTTATGATTATATTTTCATATGTTTATGTGTATTAATTTGTGCAATATTTTTCACAGTCCAAGTCCACTAAATGCAAGGACTCAAGAAAGAAAGTGTCGACAGACCACCATTGGGGTCGAACAAGTATCAATAGTTGGTTCTATAATCATGTAAGTGGCTTAATCTATAATTTTAATTTATTTAAGTTTATATAAAATACATACTTATTGTATAATCTATTTTTTAGTTTAAAAAGTTTGGCAAAAATCCTACCGTGTTTGACACGTATAAGAAAGCCTACATGGGCATTGATGCGTTGAGGGAAACCGGACCATCTATTAGTGAGGAAGGAGAGACAGAGCCGTATAACGGGACAGCAACTCCTGAACAACTTCTCATTTCGGTAAGTAAAGTGTAATTATATTCTTCAATCGGTAGTATGTTTAGATGTGTGGCTATGGATTTTTTTTTGAGTAAATATGGTTTTGGTTATGTTTAGATGTGTGGCTATGGATATTCTTTATATGTTTAGATGTGTGGCTATGGATATTTTTTTTTTAATATGTCAAGTTGTTGTTGTGTACTGGTAAGGATTTTTTTTGGGTATGCTCGTATTTAGATGTTATGCTGTCAAATTTTTTGCTAAACTTTTGTACATAATCATTTTCAGGCTGATTTGGAGCGAGTTTATGACGAGACCATGCGTGATGGAAGTGACGAAAGCACGGCCAACTCGATTGCAATTGAAAAGGCTTTGGGAAAGAGTAAAGGCCTTGGAATTAAAAGTTCAAGCACAAGGATTGGAAAGTCGAGATTTTCTTCGACTCCATCAGACGTGGAGATTCAACTGGAGATTCAAATGAAGGCAATGCAAGAACAAATGCAAATGAAAGACGAACAAGTGAATCGATTGGAACAACAATTGAACGAAAACCGAGAAACAAATAAAGTTAAAGATGAAAAAGTTGATCGATTAGAACAGCAATTGCAGGAAACCCGAGCTCTTTTGAACAACTTGCTCGAGCGTTTTAATGGTGGAGTATAAAAACGAGATGAAATTAGTGTGCCTCTTGAACTAATACATTTATGGTTTCAAGTTTTAATGTAATTTTTGAATTGATGTTCGTGTTGTATTTTGATATTTAATTGGTAATCGTGGTTTTTAATATTTTTGAGTAAATATGGTTTTGGTTTTTTTTTTTTTTTTTTTTAACAGGGGATTTTATTTGTAATAAAAAATAATTAAAATAAATAAATTAATCAAAAAAAAAAAACGTTTGCGACGAAATCTAATTCAGTTTTCGTCGCCAAAAAAATAGAACCGGGCGACGAAACAACTATTTCGTCGCCCAAAGATTCGGTGAACTTGCGACGAATTAAACAAAATTCGTAGCAAATACATGCGACGATATTAGTTTTCCGTCGCTAACAATAAAAAAATAATTTTTTTCAGAAAATACGGTTTTTGCGACGAATGGGTGGTTTCGTCGCCAATCTTTGCGTCGGAATTGGATTTTCGTCGCTGACTTTGCGACGGGGCATTACGCGACGAATTTTTAATGATTTGGCGACGAAATTAAATCGTCGCTAAAGGCGAAAAAACGTCGCTACGTGACGAATTTCGTCGCGAATTTTCGTCGCCAGTGTTGCATTTTGGCCTAGTGTTTTAATTTGTTTGTTTAGAAATTAAAAAAAATAGTAAACAACTAAATTGATTATTTTTTAAATAAAATAATTATAAGATATAAGAATTTATTAATTGCAAGACTCCAGGGGTATTTGTGTCTTTTTATATCAAGTCAACCTTCAAATAGTTCCATAGGGGGGTTTTTGCTATTTAAATAATTTCACAGGGGAGGTTTTTGCTAGTTTATTTATCACAGGGGGGTTTTTGCTATTTCGAGATTATACAGGGGTAGTTTTTGCAGTTTACTCCATTAATTAATACCCAATTGTAATCAAAGAGTTGGGCAAGCCTAAAATTGGATCATCCCACTTTCACACTTCCATTATTCCCCACGAGTTAATTAATTTTCTAACACATTAGAACACCAACAAAGACCGGTCGGATTTAAAAAAAGATTATTATATGCTAATTTGTCGGTAGAACATTATTAATTATATTAGATTCAAGACTCTTCTTGGACGGAGCAAATTTATAATGGGTTTGCACCACTAGAGTATAGTACTCGTAATATTTACCCCTAAAGTATCATTTCCATATTCGAAATTCAAGATGTATAAATTAAAGAATAATTTGTTATTTGGGATTTATTGATTTTTGAACATGTCTCCTTAGTTGTAATTATTCAATAAATGTATTGTTCATTGATTTATTAGGTTTTTTGGTCAATAACTTAATTCTTAGTTATTTTTAAAGTTTATTTGGTCCAACAAAAGGAGATGTGATGTTATTAAATAGGTCACCAACACAAAACAACATTTTGAAAATTCTAAAATGTTGCATTTTTTCCAATAAATATCTTTTAATAATATAATTTAACTATTCTTTTTTATTATTTGTTCCAACAGAAGAGAAAATATTAAGACTACTAAAATTTAAAATACAAATTAAATAGTGCTTGAGGGGGCAAATGTTATAAACGAAATTTGAAGGGGTAAATGTTATAGGAGGCATACTTTAGGGGTCCAAAGTGTATTTAATTTTTTATTTCTTCAATTGCAATACGATCAATTTACGTCACGTTTTACATCACTTTATATTAATAATAGGGCGAAAACAAAGTCACTGTCATTCCACTCACTCCCACTTTCTCAACCATCCACCACCCACATGGACCTTGCTCTCGCCTCAACTTTCCGGCCACTTCCGTCGCCGGAATATACCCTTTTCATCCGCGATCTTCACACACCATTTTCCCTCCGGCAACAGCTGAATCATAGACCGCCATTATCGAGGCGAACAGTTATCTCCATGGCTCAGAAAAAGCCCAAAATCGACGGCCTGAGTGATGAGCTGAACTCTATCGCCGCCCAGAATTTAGACCACGCCCCTGCTCGGCGAAGGGTCCGATTAGCTTTCTCTGATCTCCAACAGCAGCTCGATCATATTTTATTTAAGGTTTTTTTTTTCCTTTTCTTGATTTTCAATAACAGGGTCTCTCTCTCTCTCTCTCTCTCTCTCTCTCTCTCTCTCTCTCTCTCTCTCTCTCTCTCTCTATATATATATATATATATATATATTATTTTTATTTTTCCCATTTTAAATTTCTTGTGGCGAGCAGATGGCTCCAGCTGGGATCAGAACAGAGGAGGTGAGTTATGCAGGGATGCAAATTTTTATTTATTGATTATTTATTTATTTATTTATTATTGATTTATTTATTTATTCATTCATTGATTTGAATAATTTGAAATCTATTGTTAATTTGGCTTTGTCTAACATATTTGGCATATTTTTTGCTATTTAATTGTGATGAATCATGGTACCTTACCTAGTTCGTTTTCGTTCGTCTTACGGTTTCGACTTTCGATTCGTTTTCCGATATCTACAACTCTTTCATTTGTGAAATAAAATTCAATACACATTTAATATGACATAATAATGCAATTTTTCTCATCTAAAAATACGAAATTACTTACCAAGAAAACCAAAATTTCGCCCGTGTGTAGTGGTACGAAATAAATTCAAACGGACAAGAAATTTTCTGCAAGAGCTGGTTACCGAAACCCGGTGTACGAATCAAAGGCTCGTTATTTTTTTGCCATGGATACGGCGACACGTGCACCTTCTTCTTCGAAGGTTGTTCTTATTCCTCAATTTGATTAAAATATCTTAAGACACATTATAAACATTTTTTCCGTAATTAAATTAAAATTGCTGTCTTAAATCAGGCATTGCGAAGCACATTGCTGCATCGGGTTATGGTGTTTACGCAGTTGACCATCCAGGCTTCGGTCTTTCCGAAGGTCTCCACGGCTATGTTCCCTCTTTCGAAGGCATTGTTGATAATGTCATCGAGCAATTCACTATAATGAAAGGTAGTACAATTTTCTCGCTCAAATGTTAAATGTCGTTTCGATTTTTACTGATACTGTTTTGACTTCGAATTCGAACGTGATTTTGACCATTTTTAATTTGATTTTGGCAAAATTCAAAACACAAAAAAAGTTGTCTTTTTGAGTTATTTTACTAATACTGTTTTGACTTCGAACGTGATTTTGACCATTTTCTAATCTGATTTTAACAAAATTCAAAACACAGAGACTGTAGTCTTTTGAGTTAGCTTTCTAATTCAACTTGAATCAGGTAGATTTGATATCGGGCGACAAAGTTATGCATGAACGAGTTACATTCGCTCATGCATATCTTTCTCATCCGACATACAATCTTGCTGATTCAAGTTTGATTTCGAAAGCTAACTCAAATATCTACGAATTTGCTTTTTTTTGAGTTTTGCCAAATTCAGCATCGAAAATGGCCAAAATCACTGTTTGAAGTCGAAAACGGTATTATTATAACTGAAACGACGTTTATCACATCACATTTTCTCAAGATTTATAATTATTTTTTGCTTCAATTTTTATTTATTTATTTATCTTTATAAATATACAGGAAGGCCAGAGATTCGAGGGTTGCCTCGTTTCATATTTGGACAGTCGATGGGTGGAGCTATTGCTATCAAAGCACTTTTAAAATCGCCTAACGAATGGGATGGTATAGTGCTTGTTGCTCCAATGTGTAAAGTATGTCACATTTAATTTATTGATCATGTGAAAATAATTTACTTCTATGAGAAGATTGATTTAATTTATTTAATTAATTCAGATAGCAGAGGAAATGACGCCGCCTGTTCCGCTCCAGAAAATACTAATCTTTCTATCTAAGCTCGTTCCGCAAGCAAAGCTCGTTCCGCAGAAAGATTTAGCTGATTTGGCATTCAGAGAATTCAACAAAAAACAAATGGTTTTGCCGAATTTTATATATTTTTTTTCTAAAAAAAAGAAAAGAAATTAAGATGTTTAATTACGTCGAAACTAATGAACTTGATTCATCCTTTATAGGCTCCGTATAATGTGATAAGTTACTCGGATCAAACCCGACTAAGAACTGCAGTGGAGCTCTTGAATGCAACAAAGTATATCGAGTCACAAGTCGATAAGGTCTAGTAGAATTATTATATATGTGAAGTGACGAACGGTTTTATTTATTTACGTTTTTGCCATTTTCAAGAATTTTTATTTAACAGGTGGCGTCTCCAATGCTGATTCTGCATGGAGGTTCGGACAGAGTGACCGATCCACAGGTGAGTCGATTTCTATACGAGAATTGTTCGAGTCAGGACAAAAAATTGAAGATTTATGAAGGAGGTTTTCACTGTATTTTAGAAGGGGAACCTGATGAAATAATTTTTGATGTTCTTGCTGACATTATTTCATGGCTTGATTCTAAGACTTATGTCAAATAATTTTTTGTTTTTTTTTTCAAGATTGATATTTAGAATTGAGTAAAAAGCAGTTTACCCCCTAAACTATAGCCCGTTTTGCACTTTACCCCCCAAACAAAAAAAATTTGCACGTTTTTACCTAAACTACGGTTTTCGTTGCACGGTGCCTTAAAAAGGGAATATTCCGGGCATTTTTGCCGGAATCCCACACATGTGCATTTCACGTGATTTTTCTAAGGGTAAAACCGTCTCATCACTTAAAAACTAACCTAGGGGCTGTATTTCCCCCCTTTTCCTCTCCCCTTTGTCCAATTTTCCCTCCAAATATAACCCATATTAATACTCACATTAAACATTGAACAAATTAAAAGAAAATTAAAATTTAAAAAAGTTGATTCCATAGATTTAGCAAGAATCTTTAATTGCAAACTTCGACAGTTCTTCGTCGAAATATCGGACATACGTAAACGAGTACATAAACGAAAACCTATACAGAAACATACAATCTGCATTTACTAAAAGAAAACATTCGACACTTTTTATAATTAATATAAATTCAGTAATTCCACAAGCAATCGAGGTCAACTTGTGCAGTCGAAATAATCGGGAATTCTTGATCTTCATAAGGCAAATATCCCACTTCGTTGTACGACGACATAGCGGAACACATATCCTGCGAGAATTCCCCATCACCGTTTCGCTTCGAATTAGAAAAGCTTTTGCTATCGAGGAAACAGAATTCTGAGGTAGAACAAACGGAAAAGGCGAGAAACGGAAGTTTCTCGAAGAAGATGAAGAACTGAAGTCATCGAACGGTGTTATATCTCGTGGGTCCTCCATCGGATTGGAGAAGCAGGTCACGTGAGATCCCTCAGCAGCACGTGCACAAGTGGTTCTTGTATGATTTTCGTCAGACGAAAAATCCATCAGCTGAGGCAAATCGGACGCCGCCTCTGAATCGACCCCGCAGTTTCTATTCCTTGCAAACCCTGATATAGGCACTATTTTCCCATCACTACTCTTCTTAAATATTCTGCATATCACCCATTCATTCTGAAAATTTAATAAGAAAAACAAAAAAAAAAAAATCATCAGCAAACAACAAAATAAAAAAAAGACAGGGGAAAACAGGGGAATATACATTAGCAGTTTTGGGGAGATTTTGCAAAGAATGCTTGCCCTCCAATCGATATTCGTGCATAACCCAATTGGTTTTTTCCACTCTCTCGCAACCACCGACCATCAACCCCACCCCGGCAAATCATCATTTCCACCTCTAAACTATTTCCAACCCGCCGCCGCCATTACTTGCCCCATTTCCTCCTTCGTTTGCCGACCGAGTGTTCGACCAATTTTTCTTTTTAAGAAATCACCATCTCCGCCGCTGCTCCTCCGACGTCAAAGATCCTAACCCCATCCCCATCTTCTATGGATCTATGAGCAAAATAGGATTTGAAGACATTTTATTTAACTGAATCTTGGCCGCCGAGGAGATGTAGTGCACCAATTATCGGAGATCGATTGTGCTGTTATTTTTTCGCCGGAGAATGTTACCTGGCTCGCGGATGAAGCTATATCCTTGGAAGGAGGAGGAGTGGTGGTCGTCGAAAAAATTTGGAATTTTTTTAAATTATTGTTTGAGATTTTTTTGGTGCAGACATGGATTGGGTTTTGGGAAGAAAGGTGGGTGATGGTCTCGTGGGTTTTGGGGAAGAAAGGTGGGTTATGTGGTCTGTTGGATGACAGCTTTTTTTCCTTTATTTCCTCTTTTTCTTTTTTCTGTTTTTTTTTTCTTTTTTTTTTGTCTTTTTTTTCTTTTTTTTTAATATGTATTTGTAATTAATATTAAAGATGCAAGTGAATGGGCGAATTTACCCCTCAAAATCTCACATGCAAAGCACATGTTTTAACATTCCGGTCAAAATTGCCTGAAAATTGAGTTTAGGGGGCACCGTGCAACGAATTAACGAGTTTAGGTAAAAACGTGCAAATTTTTTTTGTTTGGGGGGTAAAGTGCAAATCAGCCCTTAGTTTAGGGGGCAAATTGCTTTTTACTCTTTAGAATTCTTGTACGAAGAAATAAAAAGGGAAGATATATCTTTACTTCTCTTTGTGTATTCTTCGAATATTGTTTTAATAAAGTTTTGGCCCGTAAAGGCCTGCCCACAAATTATATACTTGTCGATAATTATTTGAAGGGGCGTGCTAAATCCCACACTAAAATTTATTAAATCCCACACATAAATTAAAAATAATTCTCTCTATACTCATATTTTTTTTAACTTCTCTGTAAGATAATTTTATCAAATTCACCCAAAATTCATTAATTTTTTACGTGAATTATCATAAAAAAATGAGTTCAATTTTATTATTATTTATTCAATTTCATTAAGCCTTTTTAATTATTCAAATTCATATAAATTCGATTTTTTTTTCTCAAATTCCAACTTTATTTTAGCCTGGACACGTGAAGATTTTGCTCAAATTCGAATTTGGAATGCTAGGGACGTTTTTAGTGTATGATTTTGTGAAAAAAAGTTAGAGAAAAAGAAGAAAGGTAGAGAAGGAGAAATAGTTTCAATTGTGTGCAGGATTTGGTAAAATTCGTGTGGGATTTAGCATTTCAGTTATTTGAATCTTGTGTTTAATTATCTCCACTTCAAAACTTTTGTTTAAATTTCTGATTTTATATTAAAAAAATAACAAAAGGAAAAGAAAGAGAAAAGAGGAATCCAGTTATCTCCCGGTTCAGGCCCAACACAAATGATTTTTTGTCCGGACTTAGAATATAAAATAGGCGAAAAAAAAAAGAATATAAAATAGGCCCAGGGACAATAAAATATTGTACACCATGTAATAAATTGTGTAAATAGTATTTACAAATAAAATAAAATGAGTGAAACCGCTTTCCCAGAAAAAAAAAATTAATTACTTAATTAATAATAATAATAATAATAATAATAATAATAATAATAATAATAATAATAATAATAATAATAATAATGACAACTGTTGAAGTGGCTGAAAAGACAGATCCTCAGACATGAGTAGTGTTGAAGTTAATGGAGCAGCATTATTGTCTTTGAGACAACAACAAGACAACATTACAAAACAGAAATCTCATCTTCAACTCATCATCACCAACTATATATATATATATATATATATATATATTTTTCTTCCTTCATGAATTAATAACGACTGGGAGTTTATTTCTAATTATTATAAATTCAAAAAAAATCCATGTTCATTTAATTTAATTAATTACTATTTTTTTTATAACTATCCTACAAAAATACATTATATGTGGAGTTTCGCTGATATATATATATATATATATATATATATATATATATATATATATATAGTGTGTTTGTGTGTGTGATATAGTAATAATTAGAAATACTCTATGGCTTTCAATGCAACTAAAAGCGCCCATCTTTTCAACGACATAAGCAAGAGTATGGATTTTCAATTTTGACAATTAGGCAAAAAAAATTTAAAAATAATTAATAAAAATAATAATAAAAAAATAAAAAAAAAATCATCGTGATGAGAGAGTAGTCTCCATTGTTGTTAAATGTGGACGCAGAAGGTACATAAAACTAAAGAATAGAGGCATCCAAAATAAGAAAATGTAGGCATACTTTTTTAGGTTCATAAAAAATAAATTATAAGAAAAAGTAATTAATGATATTCAAATATAAGGTGTGGATGTACGTAGCGCAGCTTTAAACGTGTCTAAATTAATAAATTGCGATGGCATCTTTGATCTTACATATAAATTATACCATGCGACCAAGACTAATTAACTCACTCTACTTACCTCTGTAGGCCGGTTGTCGTGTTTTTGCCAGCCCCATATATATATATATATATATATATATATATATATATATATATAGATATGTAGCTATTGGATTTCACACAGTAGAAGGTGTGGCTAGCTAGTTAAGTGTAGACTTTAAAATCATGCTGAAAAAGACCCCCCACTCCTCTAAATATATCCTCTTAAAACCCACCACTACAAGTCTTGTTCCTTTCACGAATAATCTCTCTTCAGATTTAGAGAGAGAGAGAGAGAGAGTAAAACAAGAAGGGGTTTCTGGTTTATAGTGTTACAACTTACATTAACTAACACAATGTTTTTTTTACTGAAAATTACTCCCTCCGTTCCTAAATAATCACTTTTCACTTTTCACAAAACTTAAAAAACTCAATAAATATATCTTGATTTTAGAAAAATTATATAAAAATGACTAAAACAACCTTTAATATTTAATGATTTATAAATTATAAGAGAAAATTAATGAATATAGTTTCATTAATAAGGTTAAAATAGGAAAAATGCATTTAATGCAGTATTAGAAATCTAAAGTGACAGATAATATGGAACAAAAATATTTTTAAAAAGAAACAGTTATTGTGGAACAGATAGAGTATATTGTAATTAATCATCCGGACAAATTATACACGTGTAAAATAATATATATATATATATATATATATATATGTATGTATGTATGTATGTATGTATGTATGTAAAATCTAATGCAAAATAATGTTGGTCCATAATATTATGATTAGGGCACTGAATAATGTATGGACAAAATTCGAGATATATATATATAAATACATTTATTCAGATGATATGTAATAAACAAGACAGGCTATATAGTAGTATAATGTAATTATGAATGGAGGGTTAGGATTAGAGTAGGGGTAACTAGGCTTTAATCGATGTTCATCTGTCTGCTTGCTGCAAACAGACTGAGTTGACCTGCCAATTAGAGTGCATTTTATTTTTTATTTTTTGTAATACCTCAATTTCATCTGCAGCTTTTGGCCGAAATTCATAACTTTAAACCTGAATAATAATCCATTATAAATTCAAATTAGATGTACAATTGATTGATAATTGACCGATTAATTAATGTTGCAGCGTTGAATTCTGAATTTCTTTTAGATTCGATTTGATTTCAATATCTCTGAAACTCGTGTACAGGTTCCACTTTAACACGAGAAAAATCATTGAATCGCGCATGGTGATAACCTCATCATTTAATTTTATTTGTCGCCAAGAAATATATATTCAGGCTCGTTTCTGAAAAATTAGGGGGCTTAGTCGAGTTTTATGAATTTGTAAAAATGGGCACCTATTTTAATTCATTCTAACGAGCACACTGAAAGATAATTTTTTGACTAGTAGTTAAGAATTTTGCATAAAATATGACTAAAATATTCACGAAATTAAAGTATATCAAAAGTTTACGAGGTTCCGGCAGGGCCCCAATTTTTTTTGAAAATCGTCATGGAAATATTATTGAACTAGTAAATATATGTACCAGTACCGTTTGTTTAAATATAGTAAAAACAAAACATAGTTTTTTTCAACTTGGCAAGACTCTTTGAAATGAAAGATAGGCAATGTTGATTAGCAAAAAATGCAAAAATAGCTGGAAAAAAGTTCAAAATCTTGAAATAAATAAAAATTTGATAGAGAAATTCAATATCTAATTAATTATAATTAATTAATTATAATTGATCTAAGACATTCATTCATATCAAATGGAAGAATAAATGTAAAAGAATACAACAAATACTTCAACTATATACTATCTTTTGAGTGATAACACTCATTTTCACACAGTTAGGCAAAAAGTGTTGTCACTGTGCTTGTCAGTAACGGAGTGTCGCTAATGCTCTATAGTGATAATAAATAAGGATTAAATGACAACAAAAAGAGCTATTGTTGACAATAAAAAAGATGTTATCATTTAATGTGTGCATTAAGTGACAACTTTTGCATTTGTCATAATTGGGGTGTCGCTAATGCAACGTTTTCTTGTAGTATATATGTAAGATAGTAAAGTTATGGTTATTCAAAATTTTGAACTATTTAATATTTTAAATATCATTTAATGCTATGACTAGTATATATAAAGGATAAAAAATATTAATTGGAGACCCCTAATTTTTTTCTAAAATTCGGGAGGCCGATACTTCCGGTCTCTCTCCTATAGTCAGAATCGACCCTGAATAAATTAATATTAAGCATTCTTGAATATATATTTATTTTTTAATTGGCTTGTGATTTACAGATTGTTGACTATGAGTCATCACTCAATGGTTGTTCGATATTGAACTAAAAAATACACTACAAGAAAAAATAGCATGAGTGATATCTCAATTGTAACAACATTAAAAGTTGTCACTCAATGCATATATTAAGTCAAATTTTAATATGTTTAAACAAATTATGTTAAGAAAGCTCTTATTTTAATTCTCAAATATTAATTTCCTAAGCAAAGCTTTCCAAAAACCTAACTCCTACAGTAGAAAAAAAGAAAATCTGTTTCTTTCTTTTAACAATTTCAGATTGTAAGAGCGAAAAATAGGATTTATAATAACATTCAATTTAGTTCGTATAATTTGTAAATATGAATAATCCTATATATATAAGGGTGTGCAGTACTGCGCCAAGCTGCCTCTCCGTCCCTGCCGATAGATATATATTAGGGCCGGTTAACGATCAAAAGGCTATCGAATATATGAATATGCATTTAATTAAACTAGCTATTTAATTGAATATATAACATAATTAAAACAAACTGATTGCCGAGTGTAATTCGTGTTTGTTAAAATCAGCAATAATGGTAGTTTTAATCAAATTTACAAAACAAAAATTTGAAAAAATCGATGGTTCGCGTTGATTAAATCGATCGGTTCGAATATAGGTCCTAGAAGGAGATGATCTGCTCAAGATATATAATTTGCAGTTAAATATGTATGTATAACTCTTCACTTAATCTTCGAATTTCGAAGCATATATGTATAACTCTTGAATTAATCTTCCAAAAGTTAAAACAAGAAAAACACTCCAACTAGGATTATTACCTGATCATGAACAACAAGGATTACATATAACTATATAAAGGATTAATTCATTAATTACCATCATAGACAAAACTGCAAAATAGGGTTTTGCTACTCCCTGTCCAAACCTAACTCCTTGTCTGAGTCTGTGTAATATCTCTCTTTCCTTTCCATTTTACTAATAACCACATATTCCTCATTATACCGACAAGGAGAGAGAGAGAGAGAGAGAGAGAGAGAGAGAGAGAGAGAGAGAGAGAGAGAGAGAGAGAGAGAGAGAGAGAGAGAGAGAGAGAGAGAGAGAGAGAGAGAGAGAGAGAGAGAGAGAGAGAGAGAGAGAGAGAGAGAGAGAGAGAGAGAGAGAGAGAGAGAGAGAGAGAGAGAGAGAGTAATGAATAATGAGTGAGTAGTACAGGAAGAATAGACAAGACCAAAAAACCCTCCAATCCCTTTAGTGGAAAAACCAAAAAATGTCTGAAATCCTCTTGCTAAACCTAACCTTTGTCAGTTTGTCTCGATCCTTCTTTTTCTCTTTCAGTTGTAATGGCCACTCGTACCATGATTATTATTATTAATCATAACACTTTTCTCCCAATCACACTCACCAAGATAACAAAATTAAAGAAATAGCGATAGATATAGAAATTGATTACTCAAATTAAATCTCAGATCCAAAATGTTATTACAATATTAATGCCACCCCTTTAATTTCTACCTCCGGAAACCACCACCGGCGCCGCCGCCGCCCACCGGTGCTCCAATGCAGGTTGTGTCGTTTTGTGCAGCAGCAGCCCCATAGGGTAGTACATGGCCGACATAGTAGCTGTTGTTGTTGTTGTTGTTGGCCGGTGGTAGGTATTGATGCGATGGAGAAGAGTGCATGTACGGCGGCGGCGGCGCCGCCTGGTGTGGCGGTGGTGGAATGTGGGGTGAAGTGGAAAACATTCTTGAAGGGTGGTGCATGGATCTGAAGGGCAATGAAGAATCACCGATATTGTTGTTGCTGTTGCTTGCCTGATGATGACTATTATACCCTCCATGTGGAAACTGTTGCCCACTAGTACTGCTATTATAAATTCAAATTAATTCACACTAAAATAAAAGAAAAAATAAAAAAAAAATGAAATTAAATACCTTGAAACATAACCTAAGTGAGCAGGAGCTAGGTCATTAGTGAAGACCAGTTGACGAGCCTTGTTCAGTGTTTCTGTCTCCCTCTCTGAGACAACATACCCATAAATTAAACATAAATTAAATAACTAAATAAATCAAATGAAACCATTAATTTCATGTAACTTCATTTTTTTTTGTGTGATTAATTAAAGAATTGTGAAATTTAAAAAAAAAAAAAAAAAAAAAAAAAAAAAAAGGAGAGAGAGAAGTTAGGTTAAATTTGCCTTGGCGGTGGCGGTTCATGTGACCGCCGAGGGCTTGAGATTTGCAGAACTTGAGGGAACAAAATCTGCACTCGTACACTTTTGCGGCCTCATCTCTCCCTTCCTTTCCGCCGCCGCTTTTCTTTTTTCTGTACCCAACGCCGCCGCCGCCGCCGCCGCCTGCAACCATATACACACATACACATATATGCCAATTAAAGCAACTTTGATAAGACTAATCTTAAACCTAATATTCTTACCCTAGTGAATCGTCTACCTATAATTATAGTCTATGAATATTCCTTCATGTGACTAACTTCCAATTTTTACTAGCTAGGGTTTCTCACTGAGGATATTTAATTTCCCCTTAATTGCTAATTAATTAATCTAGGAAAAATTAATAAATTAATTAAATTTACCGGCAGATGAAGAACTGTCCCATGAAGTCTGTAAACCATCTGATCTTGTGTAGTCTTCCGGTAAGTTATTCAGGTCTAATGGATTTCCCTCTGATCTCCTGATCAATACAACAAAATAAAAAAATAAAAAAAAAAAAAAATTAAGTAACAAGAAGAAATCAAAAGAAGTGAAACATTTAAACTAGGATCATCAAAGATATATATAATAATATATGTAACGTCGTCTAATCTCTACATACATGGGGTGAATAATTAATTGTATGAGATAGAGAAGAAGAAGGATATATATGATAACTTGGAGTTATTAGGAGCTAACTCATGAAATATGTATTGAACTTGAACTGTTAAATAAGTATACTGTGCCTTGTTAGCTTTCTCTCTCTAGAATTGAACAAGTTGTAAATAATATTTTTGATCTCTCTCTCTCTCTCTCTCTCTCTCTCTCTCTCTCTCTCTCACTAGAATTGAAAGAACAGCAAAGGGACAGAGGGGGGGTCACGTGACTTTTAGTGAGGGGGGAGTACTGGAAGAGGAACTTTGTGTGCAGGTGCATGCTAGTGTCATTTGGTTTCTTTGCTTTGAGTGTGACTTTGCCTTTTTTTTTTTTTTTTTATTATTTATTTATTGTATATATATCAGATTCAGCCCTAAGAGTACCTAGGTTTGTTTACTGCCCTAGACCTAGTACTCTGCATTACACAACAACAATATGCCAATTACATTTACTCAACTCACCCATACACACACTCAGATTATTGTGTGTCTCTGTGTGTGTGTCTTTTTTTCTTGGAGAGATGTATACTAGTTTCAGGGGGCCTGGTCACCATATATATATATATATAAATATATTGAAAAAAGTACTTTTGTTGATCTGTGAAATTAAATTGAATAAGATGGAACAATCTAATGTTTATGGGGAATGATCAGTGTGCAGAAGCAGAAAAATTGAGGAGCCTAATTATGAATGGAATTTAGAAATAATAAAATATGAATTACAAGGCATTTGGATTTGATGAATTTGGATTTGAAGAAAGATTCAAAATTGGCCCTAATATAATAACTAAAAAAATCAATTCAAAATACTGTTAAACTTTTATAAATTAATATAGTTGGAACTAACAAAATTCTTTAATTTAGCGAAATGTTAAGTTATCGAACTAATTATTTAGTAAAGAAATTATTATTTAAGCGATGGTCATTCATTTATCGAGGTACAGTTCTAATATAGGAGTTTGTTATTTAAAAAATATTATTAAATATTATGAATTGTTGGGCGTTCATTCAAAGATTACATAATAGAAATAATGCATAAACTCGATAGTATTACTTATTACATAGCTTAAGGAATATACATAGAAATGAAATGAAAACAAAAGGAGGAATATAGGAGTTGGAATACGACTCCGCCTTTCAATTCAATATTCACATCAGAGATTCCGTAAAGAAACGCACCAGTACCACACTTCGAGAACCAATCTCCTAACTCACTCACTCATACTCTCGTTTTCAGCCACCTCTCGAAATGGAGAGTTGAATTAAGAAGCGAGATCTAATTTTGAAAACTTGAGGGACTTGTTATAAATTATAATAAATGAAGAAAGAAAAAAGTATTCTTAAATAAATTTATTTTTTTAACGATGGACACTTTACAAATATTCCCACAATAAATAAAGAGATCTCGTGTAACAATTTATAATACGGTCACACATGCCTCCTTATCTAAGAAAAACCACAATGTTGACGATGATAATTAAAATTATTGCAAATGCTGTATAATATATGGTAAAAGTACCTCTTTCTTTTTAATAATAATACTATCGTAATCTCTATAATTAATATAGTAGCTGGATTGAGACTGTTGATAATTAATAATATAATTTATTGTGTCTAATTAGTCATTATTGTTAATTATGAGTGATAGTTGACATATTTATATATATATATATATATATATATATATATATATATATATATATATATATATATATAAAGAAAATCAAGGTAATCATGAGGATATGGGATGTAATACGTGTATTCCGTTGGATCTATAATTTAAAAAATAATACTTCAAAATAAATTACTTTTAACAAATTATGGCTGGGCTTTAAACTGGGCCGGTTTAGAGTTAGCCGAAGCTAAATGGGCCTATTTACGGGCTTAGCATGGTCCCGTTTTTGACCAATTCGGGCCAATCGCGAAACTAATCCCATAGAAACAAGATCCAGTCACCTAATAATATTTTAATAATTCAGGAAAAATTCAATTTTTTATTTTTTTCGAATTTAATAATGAACTCGCCAGCATGCAGTATTATTACCGCATATAGCATATCCAAATACAATTTATTTTAAACAAAAGACAAAATAAATATACTCTGCATCACATCTCCACACACCATTTTCTCTCGCCATGGATTTCGTCACCATTTCATTAGCCCTACTGTTTGCGGTGGCCGTAGGCTACGGCCTGAAAAAACTCTCCGGCGGCGGCAAAAACCTACCTCCGGGACCGAACCCACTGCCGCTCATCGGCAGCCTCCACTTGCTCGGCGACCAACCCCACAAATCACTCACTCGCCTCTCCAAGATTTACGGCCCAATCATGCACCTCCGCCTCGGCTTCGTACACACGGTGCTGGTTTCCTCCGCCGCCATGGCGAAGGAGGTTATGCAAAACCACGACCTCGTATTTTCCGGCAGGACTGTTCCCGACGCAATCCGGGCCCACGACCACTCCAGCTACTCCGTCATCTGGCTTCCGGTGGCGGCGAGGTGGCGCAGCCTCAGAAAAACCATAAACTCCAACATTTTCTCCGGCAACAGCCTTGAAGGAAACCGGCAACTCCGGCATAAGAAGGTGGAGGAGCTCATCGAATACTGCAGGACCAACAGTCAGTCCGGCACCGCCGTGGATGTGGGCGGCGCCGCCTTCAGGACATCGTTGAATATACTTTCGAACACGATTTTCTCTAGAGATTTGACCGATCCTTTCTCCGATTCCAGCAAGGAATTCAAGGAGCTGATATGGAATATGATGGTGGAGGCCGGAAAACCCAATCTGGTTGATTTTTTCCCTCTTCTTCGGAAATTTGATCTGCAAGGGATACGGCGGCGTATGACTGTTCATTTTGGGAAGGTAATCGATCTTTTCAGTGATTTGATCGATGAGAGGTTGGAAAAGATGAAATCCGGCGAATATGATCCCACCGGCGATGTGATTGACGTACTTCTCGCCGCCGGCGAGAAAAACCCGGAAGAGATTGATCGGATTCACATCGAACGCATGTGTTTGGTAACGATTAACGAACGTTTGTTCTTGATTCTAGTAACAGGAAATACATCAAACAGTTGGTGAGCATTGAGTTTTATAATTTTCTGTTGCAGGACTTATTCGCCGCCGGAACTGAAACAACTTCGAGCACGGTGGAGTGGGCTATGGCGGAGGCGCTGAAAAACCCAGAGACGATGAAGAGGGCCAAAGCCGAGCTGGCGGAAGTCATCGGCGCCGGAAAAATCGTAGACGAAGCGGACATACCGCGGCTGCCTTATCTGAGATGCATGCTGAAGGAAACCCTCAGAATCCACCCGCCGGCGCCGTTCCTGATTCCTCGCCGGGCGGAGCGAGACGTCGTCGTTTGCGGATACACGGTGCCGGAGAACTCACAGGTTTTCGTCAACGCCTGGGCGATCGGGAGAGACCCGGAAATCTGGGAGGAGCCGTTGGTATTCAAACCGGAGAGGTTCCTGGAATCGGAAGTTGACTTCCGGGGAAGGGATTTCGAGCTGGTTCCGTTCGGCAGCGGGAGGAGGATTTGCCCTGGATTGCCGTTGGCCGCCAGGGTGTTGCCGGTGGTGGTGGGGTCTCTTTTGAATTCGTTCGATTGGAAAATTGAAGGTGGGGTTACGGCGGCGGAATTGAACATGGATGAGAAGTTTGGGATCACGTTGCAGAGGGCCCATCCCCTCCGAGCAGTGCCCGTTCCTCTGTAAGGCCGCCGGAATATTCGATTTGCAGTTAGAGCGGGCCCACATTTCCGGCGAACGGTCATCCCAATAAGTCAATGGCTCCATCTATCAAGAATATAATTTAATTGATATTGTCTAGTAATATAATCTTTCATTTTCTAATTTTACCTGCTCTGTAATAATTTAATTTAGGGGTCACTTTAATTATAATTATTATATTAAAAAGAAGGGATAATTAGTGAAAACCCCCAATACATTTGAGTATATTATGATGGATATAATCTCATTTAGCATATTAGTGAAAACCCCCCAATTTCATATTTCAATTTAGCATAAATTCGAAGTTTAAATGGTGTGCCTATATTACCCTACTATTTTTCATCCACATTAAACCCTACATATTCTATGAACACGTCGTCCTCCCCATCAGCCGCCCAAAAATCTATTCTCCTTCTCTTTCCTTCCGCTCGCCATTAAACCTCTACCACTCTTTTGCTCCTCAAAAACCAACCGTCCCGACTTCGTATCTCGTCGGAGTTGAACGACACATAGTGGAAGTACATCTATGTTACGTCGAAGGGGAAGAGTTAGATCCACGTTCAGTGCCCCACTCCTCTGAACCTTTGTCGCGAATTTTGCGTGAGCGGAAAATCACAACTTTTCCGCTGGGGTTTACATCGATGACGACTATGGTTTTACTGATTATTGTAGCAACGGCGGATCCTATCAATTTCAGTGAATGGAGAGAAAATAATGGCAGAAGTCATAGGTTTGGAAATCAATTTTTAATTACCATCCTTCCAACAAGAATTAAAAAATAATTGGTTGCGATAGAGGGTTTTTATTATTTTAGTTTTTTTATTTTTATTTTTTATTCTTGAAGCTTACTGTTGTTGATTTTGAATTTGGAATCGTGAGAGGATAATTGAATTGGTGTAACTAGACATGGTGGGTTCCCGATTGGTGTCCGATGTGGCCTCGTCTTTCATCCGCAGTCATAATCGTCTGATCCGTCGTGGATTCGGGTATATGGTGTTTTCATACGTGGCATCATTCTTCATCTGCTGTCATAAATCGCCGCCCTCCATTCGTGGATTGTGGAAGAAGATGTTTTTGTGGTTATATTCGCTCGATTTTATAGTAATTTTCTTGAATACAGTTGTTTTCGATTACGTAGTTGTTTTGGATTAAGTAGTTAATTTAATCAAAATATAGTTGTTTTTGATTACGTAGTTGTTTTGGATAATTTATTAGTTGATTTTCGACAATTTTATAGTTGATTTCGAGAATTTGTGTTGACTGTAATTTTTTATAGTTGATTTGTAGTAGTTTTATTTTTGGTAAATTTACTATTGAAAACAACTATTTTTAATTAGTTGTTTTATAGTTTTTTCATAGTTGATTATGGAAAAAAAAAAGAAAAACATAGTTGATTTCAATAAAAATAGTAGATGTAGTAATTTTGTATTTGATTATGGGGAAAAAAGCTTAAAACAAGTTTTGAAAATAAAATTATATATATATATATATATATATATATATATATATATATCAACTACGAGAAAACTAAAAATTACAAAACAAATAGTTAATAAAAAATAATTTATTATTCATATTTTTAATAAATGAATAAAAATGGAAATTAAAATTACATAAGAGAAATAATTAGAAAAAATAAAAAAAATCCATCAGCGTATTAGTAGGAAATGCCTTAATGGGAAGTTAATAGTGAATAGGGCATATTTGAAATAAAGGAAGAGTTGGATTTATCACTAATAATGAAAAAGTTGGATCCACATTATTAAAAAAATAGTAGAAGGGGTTCTCACTAATAGTCCCTAAAAAGTAATAAAGAAAAAAAACACTCATATTTTGGATTCGTGCGTCTCTCTGTCAGTCAACTCATTTGTTGTAAATTCACTACACCGACACTATATTTAAAATTAATTTATTCAGTCAGCTCATGTTTTGAATGATATATTGAATATCCTATAATATCTACTATCTAGAAATTGATTAACAGTCAAACAAATTTATTATATAATCAAAAAAAAAAAAAAAATTGATTTTTATTATTTAACAGTCAAACAAATAATGCATATAATGGAACAATTTATGTACTCAATGAGTTAGTTAGTATCTCCTATGCTTCATCTAAGACATATGCGGATGAGATGTTGCAACTAGTGTAATACAGTGGCTAACTTTGAACCGTAGATTTGAATAAATAATTATCCACTAAACACACGTACATATTGGTGTATGTATTATTAAGTGTAAATTTACAATTTAACATTACGCGGTATATTTCACCGGATGTAGCATATACAAAACCGACATCTACCAAACCATTCAAATAATGGATGAGAAAATAAATAAAAACATGTTGGTCACTAATGTTGACCAATTCGGGCCAAACCTTAATCGGGCCCAATTATTAATGGGCCAAGAAAATCTGAACACCATGAAATCGTAGATTAACGGGCCATCCTATCCAATAAAGCCCAGATATCACTACCACGATAATAATTTAAATAACTTCAATTATAATTTTTCAACATTAAAATCTCAATTGCCTTTTGTTTTTTTTACATTATATAAAAATATTTAAAAAAGAAATATTATATTATACATAGAAAAAAGGAGAAGAAAAAAGCAGACCCCTATCCGTTCAAGTTTTTGACAAAACAATTTACAGTGAAGGAAATCTATCATCATTATCTTCTCCCATGGCTGCTCCTCTACTTTCTCTCTCCTCCCCCACCCCTTCCACAACCACCCCTCTTCTTCACCACTTATCTTTCAAGGTGAGTACTCTACTGCCATTTTTCATCTCAATTCACACTTGCAACTTTCAATTTACAGTTTTCTTATTATTATTTTTTTTTTTGTTCTGTAAACAGGGCAATGTAAGAACTCTGAAGGCGAATCAATGCCAATTTCCGGCGATTAAGCTCTGCCAGCGGAAGGCGAATCAGAGACAATCGCTTGTAGTTCGGAATCAAACGGCGTCGTTTGTGGAAGAATCGTTTGTGAGCGGCGGGAATGTTAGGTTACGGCTGGATAATTTGGGGCCACAGCCAGGCTCGCGGAAGAAGGCGAAGAGAAAGGGGAGAGGGCACGCGGCGGGGCAAGGTGGCAGCTGTGGGTTTGGAATGAGAGGTCAGAAATCCCGGTCAGGTCCAGGTGTACGCCGAGGGTTTGAAGGTGGGCAGATGCCCCTCTACCGACGACTCCCCAAATTGAGAGGAATTGCTGGAGGTAAATTCAATTCTTCAATTTTAATTTTAATTTATTATTTATTTTGAAATTGCATTTGCCATTATTTGGAAGAAAATTCAAAACTGAGATTGGTTGTTTTGGGTATTTGCTGTGATTGAATTTGTTACTTCTTATAGTTAGCGAAAGAATAAAGAAAAATTGGTGGAGAAATTCTATTTAGAAGCAGAAGAATAATACTTCGATTTTCTGAATTGCTTGTTTATAATGTGTCGTCGTATGTCGGATAGAACTACTCGTTGGTATTATGAAATGAAATTTAGCAGTGCATCGATTTTACAGTTTAAGCGATGATACTGCCGAACGTCATCTTGTCGGGAAATTTTAATTCATATGCTTATTAGGTAACATGGGAGAAGTTTAATTGCTCGGTTTTAATTCCGTTCAGGTAATCCCGTGTGCTCTTTCTCGTGATTTGGGGCTTCAATATATTAATGCATTACTGATTAGGATTAGTCTTGATAGGGAATCTTCACACGAATTACGTTTTTAAATGTGACGAATGTAAATATCGTACCACTATGATGCTGATACGGTTTTTTTTTTTTTTTTTTTTTTTTGTAAATAAAGGCATGCGGGCTGGACTACCGAAGTATGTCCCGGTGAACTTGAAAGATATAGCGGAAGCGGGTTTCGAAGAAGGAGAAGAGGTTTCGTTGGAATCTTTGAAGATGAAAGGTCTGATTAACCCATCGGGAAGAGAACGGAGACTTCCTTTAAAGGTAACAATTTTGATTATCCAAATATTTAGATTATTTTTGCATTTAATTTATTTGGATGATGATGATTTAGTTTTACTTAGTTTTTATTACATCATGTGACCACTATTCGGCAACCTATTGCTCCACTGCATCTTCACTAGAACTCGTACAAATAACGTTGAATAACTCTTGTCTTTCTTTTCCTTTTCGTTCGGTATATGTCCTCTCTTAGGCCTTGTTTGGGAATAAGGATAAGACTTGATAGATAATATAATCAAGGTGTTTCGAATTGTTGGGGTTAGAATTACGAGCCTATGATAAAAAGAATGTCCCGTACTTTAATCAAGCATACAAGAATTGTATAATCACAAATCACAAATATAAGATAATCACATAAGACAATGTTAATCCTATCCAATCTAATTCAATCAATCACAATCAATATTCTCAAACGAGCCCTTGTAATTTTAATCTCGAATATGTGACCTTCTAATGCCACGATTTTTTTCACTTAAATTTACGGATCTTACAAATTCATGATATTGCATTTATGGTGTATATACATAAATATATATTGTGTTTTTTTCCAGATATTAGGTGATGGAGAATTGAGCGTGAAACTGGAATTCAAGGCGCGTGCATTCTCATCGGCAGCAAAAGAAAAGCTAGAGGCGGCAGGTTGTTCGGTAACAGTACTTCCGGGCAGAAAGAAATGGGTGAAGCCATCTGTTGCTAAAAATATGGCACGTGCTGATGAATACTTTGCCAAGAAACGAGCTGCCGCTGCAGCTGCAGCTGCAACTGAATCAGCTGAGTCATCAGCTTCTGCTTAAGCTATCAACTTTTCTTTCTTATCAAGAATCTGTAAAAAGCTATTTTAAAACGATATAAGTTGGCTTTTGCTTTTTCTTATTGTTCCCACCGAGATGTTGTTCTTTGGTAGAGCTTTCTTTGCATTGATTTTTAATTTATATTCCGGCTTTTGTTGCTAGTTGTGTCGGCTTATTGTATTCCCATTTAGAGAAAGGCAAATCCATATTCCTCTATTGAAAGTGAAATTTCATGCCAATTTGGGCAATCATTCACTTCTTTTTCTCTTTTTCTTGATGATGCAAATTGGCGGCAAAAATATTTCGATCACGTTGACAAATTCGGACATAATTGTAGAAGCTATCAAGAATCAATCAACACACACTAAGGTGGTGTTTGTAAAAGCTTATTTAAATGCCGAAGTTAAAATGATTATGAGTTAAGTGGTATTAAGTGATTATTTTTGATAGTTTGAGTGTTTTGTAAATATTTATGAAATTAAACTTAAATAGAAAAAAAATATGTCTGGGGGTACTTTTTAAAAATAGGTTGAAGCAACTTATTTTAAAAGAAAAAAAAACAAAAGTTAATTTGTAAACACCTTAAAATATATTACGAGATAACAAAAGCTTTTCCTATTGCTGAGATTAGGAGGTTCTGGGGTCTCTGGCCAAAATGGCGATTCAAATTTGCATTAAGAAATTCGAATTCTATAGCTCACCATCTTGCAGTGTGGGCAAATAGTGTTAATTTTTGTGGTGTTGTTCCTTTTTGCGATATTCCTATTTCCTGTTTGGGTGATGGTGGATCACCTTTGTTTGACGCTTGTAATTTCTCCTTTGTTTAATGTTATCTTCTCATTTATCAAAAAAAAAAAAAAAAAAAAAAAAAAAAAAAAAAAAAAAATACTAATGCTTATAAGTCTATTTTCTATTTTCAAAAGCTTTTGTAAACAGCACCTAAACACAATATATATATATATATATATATATATATATATATATATATATATATATATATATATATATAATAAACTTAATTAGTTGTGGTAACTGAGAAGTAGGTCATTTGGTATATAAAAGTTTGTCAAACGCCTAATTAATAATAGGGACTATTAGCCATAACCCCCTCTAGTGTTTTTTTAATAAGGGGGGATCCAGCCATATTTTCAATATTAGTAGAAAACCCACTATTTTAATGATTCCCGAAAATAGCCTTCTGAAGACACACATCACAAAATTCGGAAATTTGAGATCCCTACAATCGTGTGTGATTGATTATATCCCAAAAAAAGATCCCTACAATCGTGTGTGATTGATTATATCCCAAAAAAATCGCTTTCCAAATCTTTCGATAAACTGCCATCTGCAAACTATAATTTTTTTTATATAATTTAAATAAATTTAAATTTTCGTTTTTTTATTATTTTATTTAAAAACTAACAATATTAGCTTTAAAAAAATATTTTTCTTTTAATTTGTTATTTAAAAAATTTTTTAATTTTTTTTAATTTTTTTAATTTCAGTTTTTTTGTTAATCAACTATAAAGATTCCTAAACCAACTATAATATTTCCGAAATCGACTATAATTTTGATTTTTTTTCTTTCATTTTTCTTAATTTTAATTTTTCAGTTATTTTTGGAATTAGAAAACAACTATTTCTTTTCCATTTTTTAATAAAAAACATATATTAATTGTAAAACAACTATTCGAAAAACTACAAAAACCTATCGAAAACAACTAAAAATAGCAGAATAACGAAAACAACTAAAACAAATAGTCGAATAAGGAAATCGACTATAAAAATAGCTGAATGGCGAAAACAACTATAAATATAGAAGAATAGCAAAAACAACTATTTTTTGGGAAAGATAATCATCATCAAAAGCATCACAAAAAAATAAAAAAAATAAAAAAAAAAAAAGACGGCTGCGGGGTGGATGGGGCAAGATGCGGCGGCGGTTGGGTCACCAGATCCGGTGGCGAAGACGATGGGTAGAGATAGATAGGGATTTATGCGTTTTTGTTCTTGTCTTATACCACTGTATCGAAAATTATAGCAACGATGGCAACGACAACAACACCGAGATCTCCAGATCCGGCGGTGAAGACGAGATTTTTTTAAGAATGTTTCGTCATCGGAGTGCGGGTAGATTGAGTGAATTTTTCACCATCACGGCGTTGAGAAACGGCTTTTGGCGGCGTCGGTCGGAGATGGCGACAATGAAATTTCTCATCCGCTCATTGCACTTATTTTGGACAGTCTGATTAGTTCCTCGGCGGAGCGGCTCAACGACTTCGTCAGTAAAGAGACGGCGGCGAGCAGTGGGAGAAGGGAGAACTTGGCGGCATCAGATCTGAGGTGGAAGGGGGAGATCTCGGCGACGGGGCTGAGATGAAAGGGGAGAGAAGGCGGCGTAGAGAGAAAAGAGAGAGAAGAAGAAGAAATACAATTGAACGTGATAGGGTTTGGCGGTTATGGAATATGCCGATATATCGTGATCTCAAAGATTTTCTTCAAATCACGTGTTTAAAATAAATTAATTACACAAGGGTGAAAATGTAATATCAATTATGAATTATTCATAATATTCGAATTTATACATGGGGGTTTTGACTAATTTCCGGCT